AATGGCAACAAAACATAACTACAATTATGAAGAAATCTTGAAATGGCATCCGGAGATGATACTTATCTCAGAATCGCCTGTCACTTGGCAAGGCTTTCTACTTGTCTCAGAATTGTGTGTCTCTGCTGGGAATGCTCGGTGTCCCAGAATAAAAGTGAAACTAGTTATGCCCAATTATCCATCGTTTGATAAGGCGCGAATCAGCTTTGATAAGCACATTGCTTTCCTGCGGAACATAAAATTCAGCAGAGAAGTGAAAGAGTCGATAAAGTCTCAAAAAAAAACTGTCTCATCATTCTTGTCGCAGTTACAATTACTTATTGTAAGTAACAGGTATATTGCTTTGCTATTTTCTCTTTAACAATTATATTATTATACATTTTTAAAATAGGGTAAATATATACATAAGACAAGTAAAGTTTGTATATTTGACTTTGAATCTACAAGAGACCTTTTGCATGATATAAAAGCAACTCTTCAGAATCAGTCTGTAAGTAAATTTATAATTGTATTTTTCTGTAAATTCTTACATGACCTGGATGTTGAAAATATAATATCTTATTAAAGGATGTGCAATTGTCATGTGATCAAAATCTGAGTACTATCAAATTATCCTTAAGAGAAATATTTCTTACATTGCAAAGATGCAAAGGTATTGATATTCCCTGGAAAGTAGTGTCTTCTAACATGCCTGAAAGCTTTGAGAAGATGGTATTGGGCAAAAATTTGAACGTTGTGACGACAAAGTTCAAATGGCAAGTGGAAATATTGGAAGGAATATGGGAACAATTGAAAGAAATTGATGAGTGAGTTTCATTACTTGTTTATATTTACTGCACAAAAGAAAATTATACCTCATTCTACTGCTGAAAGAATTATCAAATAATTGTTATAATGGAATATTCTAATGTGAAATATTTTATTACCAGGAATTGTTGGGTAATTGACCCGCCAAAACCAAACAAAAGTCACATGCACAGACGCATTCATTTGTCGCAATCTATATCTGTAACAATTACAATAGATCCCGTTGCTCTTACTGCTGCGCCGACAATTCAGTTCTCGGGCAGTGATAACGAAGTGAAAAGACAAACGGAAGATGTTTCCAATAATATTCATGTGCGTTCTTGCATGATGTAGATAACAGCAATTTATGTGCTCATACATAACTTAAAAATTAATACATCTTTTTACAGAACTGGAATCCAGATTGTAATATCTTAGATAATCTGAGGATGTTGTTAAATATGTACACATTCCCCGAGCAGCAGGACAGTTTGGACGATTTGCAAGGCGTAATCAATAATCGTGAATGTGGTATATGCTTCTCTGAAACATCGGAAACTAATGAATTGCCGAATAAGATATGCAATAACGAAAAGTGCATGAAACACTTTCATTCAGTATGTTTATCGAAGGTATATCGGAGACCATAATATGTATATTATACACTAATGTTTTTTATATAAAATGATAATTGTTTCAAAAGTCATTCAAAAACAGAAAATAGATAAAATAGGAGACCCTCTTAAAAGAATATAGTAAAATTGAATCTAATATAAAATAAAATATACTTCAATAGAATTAATTTCTTTTACAGTGGTTACAAACCGACGCTGCGAATCAAGTTTTATTTAATCAAATCTATGGCAATTGTCCACATTGCAACGAAAAAATGATGTGTCGCATTGAATGTTGAAGGCAAATATTAATTCATTTTTTAAAATACTGAGGTACATTTTATTCAAATATATGTATGTGTGTATAATTCATTTCTTGGAGCCATTCTTTTACAGACTGATTGAATTCTGAAGTACCACATATTAAAATTAATGTTGTTTCTGTATCATTAGATTGAAGATAATCAGCAATGAATGCTTTACTCAAACGACCAGTGTTTATATTAAAACCATGAAGATTGATTGTCATATCTGAAACAATAATTTTAGAAAATAATGAAGTACATTTAATCGTTTATATAATTAAAAGTTTTTAATTTTAATTAAAAATTCATAATTTTAATCATTTACTTATGTTGAAAGAAATCATTGATATTTGTTTAACTATCAAAATAAAGAATGTTATTTTTTGAATGTACTTATCGTAGAACATTTCATATACAAGGTATTAAAAAAAAATCGTTCAGAATTTGTATGATAGATAGTACACACCATACTGAGTAAAAAAGACTTAATGATCATAGAACAATTGAACTTTCAATCATCAAAGTATGGTGTGTACTAACCACATAAATGCTGAATAGTTTTTTTAACACCTTGTATAATTTTAACTAAATTCTTTTTCCAATATTGAATTCCAATGTCACGTACCGTTTAACTGGGACAACTGCAACGTACATTTAAAATTCCAATAATTCGTTAAATGCGTTAACTCTTTTTTCAGAGGCACGTGCGCTACCGACCTAAATCCCGCAACAAGATGTATTCTTGTCAGTTCTGTTTCATCATCAACGATTGCTTTAGCAATGGGATAAAGCGCTGCTATTCCTGAGCCGATACCAAACATGGTAATTTGCTGAAAACTGCCGTAATAATGCGTTGATTCATGAGGAAAAAAATGATGTTTACTTATCCACTTTTTTTTCACACACCTGTTACTTTCATACTTGAAATCTCCGTAAGGACCTCTGATATCAATTGTACTTCCAATTGATGCATTTTTCAGAAGTAAACTGAATTCACCATGTTTATATAACTTTATCAAGAAAATTAAACTTTTGTGTGTCCAAGCAATTGGAGTGTATGGTCGAGATTTGCTCCAAGAATGCAGCATGACGTATTGGCCAGGTGTCAAGTATAAAATATTTTTTTCTATTCTGCATTCTATGTAACATATACAAAGTTTTTTTTAATGTGAAATATATTTTATGACGATTTAAATATTACCATTGCTTTTAAATATTATAATTATTTAATAAGATACAAGTATAATTTTTCTCTGCTACAGGTTGTTATATTTCCTATTAATTATTTGCAGTATATTTTATAGAATTTATTATGTTAGCTCTATTAAGTTCATTAAACTATAATACCTGGATATTCCAAACAAATTGAAATATAGTCTTTCGATGTATCAGATATATCTGTGATAACAAACGTTTTGTAGGATAAAAGAGATAATAAATTGCCAGTTGTTTTAACTTCTGCTCGAGTCTTTCTATTTTTTTCCCATTCTCTTAGCAATGTTTTGTGAACGTCGAAGATACATGGCGTGCAGCCACTACCACAACAATCTTCCTCCAGTGGTGTTTTGGGTCTACTATCTTCATAATCATTACTATTGTCTAAACTCATTTTATACAAATTTCTTATTGCATTATTAATAGAATCTTTCCTCTATCACAACATAAATACAAGTTAACCAAACTATATTGCACAAGAAATTTAATAATAAAACATACTAAATTATAATAATTATTGCAAAATTTATTTTCACATGTTAAACATTTCATCAGTAGACTTGTATACAGATGCTTCTTATTTTATTTTGCCATATATCTTGCAAGGAAATTATGAAGATCAATTGACACATTGCAGGCTGTTGCAGACAGAACCACACACGTGCAGCGAATCACGTGACCATCTCGATCGACAGACTCGTCACACTCGTGTGATGTAATAGAGGGCTCCCTGAAAGTTTTAATGTATTTTAATTTTTTTTCTGATAATTTATATTAATAATATACAGTATATTTTGATAATATATTTTTATGCATATTTTTCAATTTTAAATAAAATGGTATGCAAGTATATTAGAATCATTAAATAAAAAATTGTTTAGATTGTATTATATACATTTAATATAGATATAATACAATCTAAACAACTTTTTATTAAATGATTTTAACATATTTGTGTACAATTTTATGTTTGAAATGAATGTATTATATGCTATAATAATTTTTGTTTAAAATGAACGTATTATACATATATTATATATGTATAATTGTTATTAATTTTATCACATATATATTATGATATATGTGAATATACTGTGAATATACTGTTATAATATGTTTGAAAATTATCCTTTTAAATATTTTTAATGTTTTCACATTACTATTATTATTTCTATTACTTAAAAATAATTTTACAAGAGAATGTATGAACATGTATGGACATATTTCATATAAAATATTATGTATGTTTATGAATATTTATACATATTTATGTATGTTTATACATAATTATACATATTCATGCATGATAAATTTTTTAGCGGGTATTTCAATTATATTCATATTACATATTTTTAATTATTTATAAATAGCTTTGTATTTTTCGAATATTCTAATATAAGTTTTTCTGTGGTTTTTCTTATTTATATTAATAATATACAGTATATTTTGATAATATATTTTTATGCATATTTTTCAATTTTAAATAAAATGGTATGCAAGTATATTAGAATCATTAAATAAAAAATTGTTTAGATTGTATTATATACATTTAATATAGATATAATACAATCTAAACATATTACATAATACAAGCAAGCATATTACATAAGATATGTCGAGTTTGTAGACGTAAGTTTATAAATTTTTTTAATGTTGCTATTTATATCAATTATGTAGATTAACTTTAATTCTCGGTTTAATTTACTCTTCATTCTTTTTTAATTCTTAGAACTTATAGAAAAAATAAAAAGAAGTTATTCAAAATTAAAATTAAACATTAATAGATGTCTATTTCTAGTTAATAATAATAGATTAATTTTAATCGCATTTTAACTTAATTTTTATCTTCTTCCAAGAATTAGAAAAAGATTAAGAATAAATTAACCCAAAATTAAAGTTAATTTATCTACGTTGGTAAAAATGGTTAAAAAATAATGGGAATCACATTTCATTTTCAATGTTTTCTTTCCACGATAGGCCCTAATGCCATATATTCCCGCGAACTACGTACGCTACTTCGAATCGCTTGACACTACTTTTGCGCGTGCGCAAAAAAAATGCGTCCTCGTTCGCAACGACGGAGTCGCGCTGGCGTATTTACAAGGCTGCGGCCGCCGCGCGGGGAGCTTGACGATCCTGCCGTAGCGGCGCGGCGGTAGGTCCGCATACCGCGCATTCCGGCGTAATGCTCGAGCGCACGCGGGCGAGGGTGGGGGCGTAAGGCGGGACAGTGGCGCGGGTGAAAGAGGGACGGAGTGGGGAGGGATGAGGACGAATAGCCGAGGCTGCCTGTCGTGTCAAACGGGCCGTGCCGCGCGCGCGCGTCCACCCGCCCGCATACCATTAGATTTTCGTGGTTTTCAATGGGTACGGGTAATCGGCCGCGGCACGACGCGCCGACGACGTGAAGTGCCGTGCGATCTCGACATCGCGTTCACCCAGGGTGTCGGAGCGCGCGGTGACGGCGGACCCGGTTGGGGACCCGAGATTGAGAATTGTCGTGGCGTGAAACTTGCGTATTTTTCGCAGGTGCGGCGCACAGTCTCGCGGGGGTTTCGCGGAGCGACGTCGGGAGCGACGAGCCGCGGGTGAGTAAAAAGATAAGCATCTGATAACGCACACACACACGCGCGTGACGGCGTGCGCCCGCGCGCGCAATGCGAATGCCCGCACGCACTGTCAAAATAAAAGCGACGCGGCGGGAATAAACGACGTGCCGGCGCACGTCCTCCCCGGGGAATGCCGCGCGTTTTACGCGTCGTCGTTCTCTCTCCTCCTCGCTCTCTCGCGCTTGTTTTCTCTCTCTCTCTCTCTTTTTACTCCTCCCTTTTTCTCGTCTCTTTTTGCATTCTTCTACGCTACGCCGCATTCCTCTATTGATTCCCCGCGAACGTCGAGAGACGCGCCGCGCGGCGGTGGCGCCGACGACGACGATCGCTCGGAGTAGCGCGCCCGACCTGTCATCGTCGTCGTCGTCGACGGTTTTTACCTCGCGAACTTTGAACCATCGGCGATTCGGAGGTTCGAAAAAAACCACCTCGTGCGTTCGCGGGGTGATTGGCCGTTTCCAAGAGAGAGAGAGAGAGAGAGGGAGGGGGGAGGGAGAGAGAGAGAGAGAGAGAGAACGAAAATTCTCATCGTCGCATTTGCTGATTTACCAAAGGAATTTCGCAGCAGGTACACGATTTCCACAGCGGACAAATTCGCTTTTGTGAAATTGTTCTGAAAAAGTCAATCGGAGACGACACTTCCGAAGAGTGTTGTTGACGTTTCGCGTCTCGGAATTTCGCAGCGATTTTTGCGCTGAGAAATTCATTACGTTTACCACGATAATTTACTGCAAATCCAAGTGTGTAATTATACTACTAAGTACCTTTATATATGAATGATTTAGTTTCCCGTAAAGATAATACTGCATAAAAAAATAGATTTGTACATTTAAACGTGTCAAATCAAGGTACTTGTTATAGTATTATTATAGTATTATTACAGTACATTTCAATTTGCAGTGTAGGTTCCAATTCCACAAGTATCAAAATTAACTTTGAACTCTTACGATTTAACTTATTATCTTTTTCTAATTCTAAGAATTCTTAGAGTAAAGAGAGTAACCTAAGCAGAACAAGTCACGATAACTTCAAAATGACATTAAAATAAAATAATTAAAAAATGATTTTTAATGATCATTTTGATATCATAATGACTTGTTGTTCAGCTTGGAAAGTTTTTTAATTCTTAGAATTAAAAAAAAGATAAATAGTGAGTCTTATGCCTGTTTCTATCAATGTAGATTAACTTTAATCTCGGGGTTTAAATTATCCCTTACTCTTTTTTAATTCTTAAAACTAGAAAAAGATAAAGACTTAATTAAGTCGAGATTAGATTTATAGAAACGGGCATAATCATCTATATTTATTTCGTGCTTCATCGTTTGCGATTTTACACACGATTCATACAAACTGGCTGATTCTTATACAGAAAGGAAAATGTACTAATTTTTAATAACTAATTATTTGAATAGTACTATAATATAATATTTATTTATAGAAAATAAACATTTACTAAATAAATAATAAAAATTTACTAAATAAATGATAAAAATTTATTAAATAAATTTACTGAATAAATGATACAAAATTATTAAATCAAATTAATAGTTCTTGTAACAAATAAATATAATATGTTTACATTTAGTAAATATTTAATTGGTACTATTTAAACAAATATTTATTAAATAATGAGTAAGAAACAATACCTATACCGGCTGGTATGGAAACTGGATTTTATTGTTAGTGTTTTAAATAATTCCATGTGAATTTATATACCTCATTTGTAGTCTTTTGAATTGCGCGCTGAAATATTGTACTCTCATTGAAATTTAGTACATTTTTCTCTCAGTGCAGTGGTTCGCGCCCTTTGATGTTATTAACAAATCGCTGCGTTTATAGTAAAACGGCATGGATGGTGGACAATAAGTACAAACTCGACGAATCTGCTTACATTCGCGCTATTCGCGAATATCATATGATTAGCGAATCGCGAGTTACGCAGTCTGGTGTTGGCTTAGGAGAAACGAAAGAAACTCAGCACGACATACCCGCACGTACCCCCTACGTATCATGAAATCCGAATTCCATGGCGTTATGGAGATCGCGCATGAAATATTGGCGTTTCTTAAAATGGTGCTTAAAGAAAAATGGTTGAAATTCCGTCGCGGAATTCTATTCGCGGAATTTGCGTTTGTCGCCGAGTAGAATTTGATATGATTTTGGACTCACGATTTTTGCAAACGCGAGAATGATGACTACATATGATGATTCTTGCACAATTTACCGCATCTACGATACCTTCCTGTATTTTCTTACTGTTTTATTTTTTAATTTTATCTCTGATATCCATTTATCCTAATGTAGGTTAACTTTTATCTCGGTTTAACTTATCCGTCTTTATCTGTCTTTAATTCTTAAAACTACAGAGAGAAAAATGTTTGGTATTTGTAACTATAATTATATATTACTATAATTATGATTATTACTGCTATAATAATAATAACAGTAACTATATATATAGTTCCAGCAACAAATGTATACAGGGTGTTTCCAAATTAAATGGCAAAACTTCGGGAGCGTGTAGAGGAGTAAAAAACTAAGAAAAAAAGTCCTATAGACATATGCTCCTTTTTGCTTTGTTTCGCAGGAAATCACGAAAAAAGAAAAAAATATATTTAATTTATTATTTTAATTATTTTATTTATAAACTTTTTAATGAAGATTTTGTTCGAAATGTGCACCTCTTGCAGCAATACAAGCATTGCATCTGTCAAACA